TTGGAAACGAGGCAGGCGTGCCCCCCGAGGGCCGGCTGAGCATCTGTGGCGCAGCCACGGGGGGTCAGAGGCGGGAGCCTGGCCGGGTCCTGTGCAGCGACCTCCAGAGACCTCAGGCACCGGCTCCCACTTTGGCAAGAAGAAACGCTGGAAGGACAGGACTAAAACAAGGGGCAAGGCTTCGGTGGGGATCACGGCAGAGGCGCTGGAGGAAGCCTTCAAGGGGGAAAGACTAAAAATAAGTGAAGAATAACAACAGTGAACAAAAATCTGTTGCCATGGGACCTTGCCAAGCTTGCCCGTTGCTCTGGGGCCCAGGACTAGGCCCGGAAGGCCAGGCATGCTTGGCCGTGAGTTATTTATGATGAAGGTCATGTAGACTGAGCTAAGGATTTCTCCAGGGCGATCCCCTTCTCTCCCAAGGAAACGGCTTCTTCCTGCTCGAGGGTAATGTAGCCTCCTGTAGGGTAAAGAAAATGTCAGGCTTTTCTGCCCTCCCGCCATCAGGATAGATGATGGATCCTTGCGGTCCTGAACGCATGCCTGATGGCGGCACCTGGAGTAGGGTGTGGGCATGCGTAGATGGGATTCACCTGGGCTGAGACTGGGCTTTTAAGGGCGGCGTCACGGGGACGCCAGCAGAAGCCAATAAAGAAGCCGAGAAGCAGCAGAAGGAACGGAAGAGCAGAGAAGCAGAGACAAGGCTGGAGAGCCCAGATTGAGTGAAGACTTGCTGGGGGCTGGGAGGCCTGCCAGCCCCCCAGACCCCCAGCACCCCTGCCTGCCATGTACCTGGTAAATCCCAATAAAAGACCTGCAAAAGCCACTGCGGACTCTGACTCCTCCTTTACCTGGTCTGCATGGGATCCTAGAAAACCTGCCCTGTGTCCGTTCCCGACCTTACACCTCCCCTCGGACACTAAGGAGAGGCAGAGGCAGGGGGGGCGGACGAGGGGCTGCGTGCATGACTTGGGCCCCACCTGCAGACGCGCGTGGTCTGGGAGAGGCAGAGCCTCTTGCTGCTGCTCGTGCCGGCTCTCCGCGGACCCCGCCGTGCTCACACTCCGCCTTTCTTCCAGGCCTGGCCAGCTGCCCAGGAGATAAATGTGGGCTTTGTCAGACGCTGAGCACAGGCAGGGCCTTTGGGCAAATATATTTTCTTACAGTCATGTTGGGAAGAACACAAGCACTTCGGAGTGATCTGTTCTGAGAACAGTTCACATTTCAGGTTTAAAAAGCTGGTGACAAACGCAAATCATCCAAAGAGGGGCGCCCCCCTCCCCAATTCAGGCTTAGCTTACATGTCTTTCTTCGGGAAAAGGCGATGACTTTCGGGACAGGAAGCGAGGCCCCAGGTGATGGTGGTTACAGGGAGACTCTGCGGGAAGGAGGCCTGGAGAGGGTTCCAGCTGGCACTTTGGTAAATAGCAACGAGCTGTGTGGTCGGGGCTGCTAACCTGCTCCCGGGGTGAGGCGTGTGCCACGGCTGACCAGCCCGTAGGGCCCCGCGGGGGAGGCAGGGGAGGTGTTGAGGCTGTCTCTCATTGCCGGGCAGATTCTGAGCCCCTCCAACTCTGTCAACCCCAGACCCAGGACGCCCCCAGGTGGGATTCCGTGGCCCTGGGTGCAGTGGGCTGGGACCCTGGTTGCGGCTTTTCACAGCTGCCCGCGGCGGTCTTCCCGCTGTGTGCTCACTCCCTTCAGCCGCTGCCGTCTCCCCCATGGGGACCCCGAGGACCCCTAATGCTTGTTAGTGACCCTCCTGGCTGGACTTTCCTCCCCCTCTGCACTGCGGACAAGCAGGGGGCCCGTTGCTGTCGGCCTGTGGGGTGGGCTGTTAGCTGATGGCTGCGTGTTCAGCTCTGGCCACAGACGCCAGGAAACCTCCACGAACCAGCCCTGGGGCTGCAGGCACGTTTTTTCCAGAGACTCCATGATCTTCCTCACCCGGTATCTGCTGGGCCCTGTGGGGCCAGCCTGAAATAGATTTTGTTTTAAGAGGACTCTTCTGGCTACAATGGAGGGGATCCCAGTGAAGCAGATGAGGTGGCAGGAAGGGTATAAACAAATCGGGCTTGGGTGGCACCAGCCTGCAGTAGCACCGGAGCAGCAGAACCTCCAGCCCGGAGCATCAAGACTCCGGCTCTTCAGACACTGGCACCCAAGTCTCCACCAGGTGACAGAGCAATTCTGGGGTTGACTAGGGCCCATCCCTCCCACCTTCGTCAGAGCCCCACGAGGTCCAGTTACCTGTGCTCAGGTGGCTGTGTGTTGGGGGACACAGCCCCAAGCAGCTCCCACCCTCGGTGGCCCCACCTCCGGGCTAGTAATGGGTTGGGGCGTGGGCACATGGCATGTTCTGGCCACCTGGGGCCCACAGGGAGGCAGGGAGAGGACACCTGGTCCAATTCCCTCGCTCCTAGAGACACAAGCAAGAGATGGCCCTTCTGCTTCTGGATGTGACACCCGGACTCCATCTTGCAACCACAGGGAAGGGGGTCTGCAAGGACTGCCCGCAGTGCGAGGAAGGAGGAGCTAAGAGAGCAGCATCCTGGGCCCGGCCCGGCTGTGGCGGCCCTGCAGCTGTTCTGCCGCTGGACTCCACACGAGGCCAGGCCTGCTCGGGCGTGAGCTGTGGAGCTGGAGCTCTCAGTCCATCTGTAGTCGGGGATCGTAGCTGATGCAAGGATATGAAACGTCCTTCAGTGAACTTTCCCCATAGCCCTGAAAATTCTGCCTCGCGTGTCACCCCTGTTGGGGATAATCAGAGGACAACTCCGAACCCAGAAGGGAATAAAGTCGGCAGCAGGGCACGAGAGAGATGGCCTCCTGCTGCCAGGCGCTGGGCACGGGGAGGTAAGGCCCCACGAGGAGCCCCTGGGAAAGGGAAAAAACGGGTTTAATGACATCAACAGCTTTTAAAAGCAGTGACAAAAAAGACAGAAATAATTTAAAAAGAGAAAAAAGCACTGACGTTTAGCTCGGACGGACACAGAGGGCAGCCCCTCCCGGGCAGCCCGAAAAGCAGAAGCAAAGATGGTACCACGGCAGCGGGTTAGATGTGTCTGTGTGTTGGGGGGTTGGGGGGGGGCTGCCGGAACTTTCCAGCCAGCGAGAGCCCAGGAGAGGCATGAGCAGATCTCCCACCCAGGCGGCCTCACTGGTGCACAAAATGCCACTGTGCCTTTTACTTTACTGTGTTGTTTTATTTCAGCAAATAAAAAATATCACTAAGGGCGTTCGTAGGTTCCCGCGTGAGCGTTCCCTCGCTGGGCTGGCCGAGAGAGGTCTGCCCGGGGCTGTCCAGGGTTGTCCGGGACTGGTCACCAGGTCACCAGCCCTGAAACCTGTCGGCGACCCATGTGTCCCCAACATGGTTCGGTGAGGTCACTTTGGCATTTCGCTGAATGCTGTCCAGGGAGGACCCCTGGAACCCATGCCCGACAACTCCCACCCGCAGTGGCTAGTTCCAGCTGCGTCCTAACCCCCGCAGAGGGGCCTCACCCGTGAGGTTAGGGTCTCATGAGGCGCACCCGGAGGCTCCTAACTCCCCATCCCATTGTTTTCTTTTCATGTGGGGGGAGGTCAGAGTGGAGTTTGGCTTTTGGCTGAAGGAATGCTCAGTAGTTACAGAAGCTTCCAGAAACTCCATGAGGGCGGAATGAGAGTGTGTGTTATTAGACTGGACATGTAGCTGGGACCTGACACTTCCACAAGGCCCCCCTGAATCCTTCCAGCTCTGTGTTGGGGGCTGAGCCTTCAAGTCCGCCTGAGCCATGTCCTGAGCCAGCTGTGGGGCACCTGCGGTCACCTTTGTGGCACCTGGCCTGAGAACTTCCTGTCAAAAGGTATAGAAATTGCGAGAACCGAGCATATCTGTGTATAATAATCCCCATTTACATCTACGCACACGAGATAAAGGAAGCCTAGGAAACAGGGGGGCACGGCCCCAGCCGGTGGGGGCGAGGTGGGGCACGGCCCGGGCTACATGTCGTACAGCCTCAGCTGCTCCTGCACGTCGCCGTCCGACATCTCCCCGAACGTCTCCTTGTTGTCCTTCATCAGCTTGAAGATGGCGGCCAGCTGCTCCTTTTGCACTCTGTCGAGAAGAAAGGATAAAGAGGAAAAAGCGGCTCCCGTCCCAGGCGGGCGCCATGAGCCCTGGAGCCGGGCGCTCTGGTTGGGCCCCTGCTTGCTCTGGAAAGAAACCAAACCCCTCACTACGCAGCAGCTGGCTGGGCCTGAAAATGCCCCCCAGGGTCCTGAGTGTTGGGTTTACCCTGGAGATGTGGAGTGACGTTGTCACCCAGGCCTCTAGAGCCTCACACCCTCCCCCCGCCTCCTTCAGTGCCGAGATGCTGCCCACCGCACCAGGGAAGCAGAGGGCCACCGAGAGGCTGGCGCCCACGAAGAATCCGCAGAACCAGCCTTTGACTGGGGACGAGCCAAAAGCATAGAAGGATGCCTGGTTGGCTGGGAAATGGGCGCACGCAGATGTGCACCCCAGGGGCAAAGGTGGGGTTCCACTGCCTAGAGGAAGAGACGCTTTTTTCTGACTTGCACAGAGACCTTGTGGTCAGCAGGGCCTGGTCAGCCAGGCGGGAGCTCGGCTTGTGCCCCCTGACCTGGGTGGGGCAGCCGGACCCGGGCGAGGCAGCCGGACGTGGGTGAGTTCTGTTAGCTGCCATCCGAACCCCACGCAGCAACGCCCAGGAGTATAAACACGACAGGGTGGGGTGACATTGGCTGCACTAAGCAGGGAAGGGGTGGCGCTTGTTTGTTCCTCTCCAGTGTGGGGTGCTGCTCAGCATGGCCCGGTGCCGAGGGCTGGCACCTGCACCCCGCTCAGTTCCTCCCTCCACGCCACCCACGGGCTTGGCACTGGCCCCTTCAGGGGACCTAAACCAGACCCCTGGGTTGCTCCCTGCAGCCAGGGGGATGGTCGCTGTGCGGCTCAGCAAAGCGCCCCCTGCGGAGGGCACATGCCGCCCAGCCCGGGAGGGCGCCCAGCCTCTCCCAGTCCTGCTGACCCCTGCCCGCCCATCCTGCACACAGCTGCCTCTCAGAGCAGTAGGCTCCTGCCTGGTCACCCCGGAAAGTGACCTCTACAGTCCATGTGCGTCCAGAGAGCAAGCACCTGTGACCAGCGCCTGGACCTGCAGCCTGAGAAGTGCTGTGGGCGGGAGGGGAGGGCTGGGCCCCTGCGAGATGCGCCAGCAGCGCCCCGGTGTGCCTTGGGGGTGGGCACTCGCCTCCTTCAAGAGGGTGGGCCTGGCTTGTGCTCCCCTGGGGGCAGAGGCATCCAGACCAGAGAAAGAACGCCCATCTGAGTGCGTTCCAAGAGATGACGTTTAAAAATAAAAACAAAGCATAACTGAAAAATCACAGAGTCATGGAGATCACCTACGCAGCGTTTATTGGACCAAACCAAGGCTGAACACGCAGATCCAGGCCTGGCGAGACGCGGGGCCGTGCCCAAGGCACATTCGGGAAGTTTCCAGAGAAACCTCGGGAATGAACCTGGAGGGGTCGCCCCTCACTGTCGGGAAGACGGGCCTGGACCAGGGCCCCGCTGGGGGCTGGGGGCCGTGCCTCGTGGGAGCGTCCATCGCCCTCCCCCCGCCCCGCGTCTGCGTGGCCTGTTCTCAGCGCCTGAACCAGAGGAAAAGGTCCCCGGGAAATGAGCCGCCCGGGGGCTGATGCCGGGCATTTCCTGGCCTCCCAGTAAATGGAAAACGTTCTCTATAAATGTACTGCTCAAAAAATGTTTCAGGAACACTAAGAACCAGAGGTTGTGGGTAGAAATCTCGTCAAGTATAAAATCCCAAGAAGCTAATCCGGGGCGGAGTGGACGGCGGGGCAGATTCGAGCCCATCCCTGACCCCGGCGGAAGGCCCGGCCGGGCAGGCCCTCGGCGGACACTCTTATTATTGCTTCTCCTAAGTGAAGGCGCAGGGTGGGCCGGGCTGGCGAGGACGGCTCGAGGCCTCCTAGTGATGAGGCTCCCCTACATGAAAACTCTGGGTGACAGAAGCTGCCGCCGGCACTGGGCCCAGTGGTCAGCGGGCGCCTCTCGCCCCACAGCCCAGGCAGCCACGGAGGAGGGACGTGGCCCCCGGGCAGGAGGGCGGCGGCGCCCTGGCCAGTCGGGAGCACGGGGGCCGCCTCTTCGTCCTTCGACCTGTCTTTTGTGGTTGCTTCAGTGAAGGAAGGGGCCGGAGGCTGGGCTGGAACTGGTTGGGAAACGACTGCGTGCCAGCCTTGATGGCATCTACGCTGTGAAGGGTGTGTGGGGAACAAGGTGAGTGATAAGAAAAAGTCTGGGGTGAGCGCAACCCCGAAAACCCCCCAGCTTAGCACCCAGAGGGACAGCCCAGGGCATCCCCAGAGGCCCAGCCGGGGGCTGCTGGCGGGGCTGGGTCCCAGCGGGTCTACGGGCGAGATGCACCCCGGAGCCAGCTGGGCTCCTCTGGGCGCTGCGCTTTGTCTCTCAAGCTTTAAAGATGCCAAAAGGAAAAGCCTCCAGGAGGAAGCTAAGGCTAGCGCCATATTCTTCGGTTCTGTAAAGAGAAATAGGGAGAAAAGAGAATTGATGTCACTCGCGCCATCTTCCGTGCTGGGGGGACGGGGGCGAGGAAGGAGCATGTTTGGCGTTGCAGAAGCCGGGCTGGGCCCCGGGGCCTGGGCAGGGCAGTGGCTCTCACGGCAGCAGGACAGTCTCTCCACGGGCCTCCCACCGCCCGGTCAGGGGGTCAGGCAGAGGGCAGCCTGGTGCTCCCGGTCCCGGGCAGTGAGGCTGCGCTGGGGATGTCCCCCCACTGGGTGATTTCCTATTCTGCAGGCTGGGATTTGCCCCTGGGGGTCACTGGCCCCGAGGGTGGGGAGCCCATCACTGCCAAGCACCCACGGGAGTGCCCTCTGCCGGGCCCAGGCCGGGGAAGGCAGGCATCTGGCGCGCTTCTCTGGCGCCCTCTTCCGGATGTCAGGGTCAGCGCACCTTCTGGAAAACCACACCGGCCCTCCCGCAGGCCCCGGTCCAGTCTCCTCTTACCCTCGCCCATGATGCCGTGTGGACACCTTCTACCTAGTCATGTCCACGTCCAGAAAGGCCAGCCCCGAGCTGCGGACCTTCAGAGGAGTGGGTGCTGGGGCCCTGGGGCCTCAGTGGTCAGAGTGGGCCTGGTCGACCACCTGTGTTCCCTCTTCTCTGGACCAGAAGGTGGGAAGAACGGGGGGGCAGGCAGAGAGGGGTGGACGAACTACTTTTTCTTTTTCCTGCCCGACGAGAAGCCATCTGAGCTCGCCGCCTCACTAGCTCCAGGGGCCCGGGGACAGCCCGTGGCAGGGAGCACAATCACCAGCCTGCAAGCCCACCGCCCCAGCCGCACCCTGAGCCAGAGGCGGCACCTCCCAGAGAAGCTGCGACAGAAGCCAAGGGCGCCCAGCCAGGCCCAGGCTACGCTGAGGACACGTGCTCCGGCTGCAGCCCAAGGGGAGCCCCCGGAGCCACCCCAGAGCCGGGTCTTCCCTAAGCAGCAGCGAGCGGCCTCTGGGTTTACAGACCTCAGCACTTTCTGTGCCTCGGGCAGGAGCCTGACCTGGGAGCACCGGGAGGAAGCAGCTGGGCCTCGTACTTTCTGTCCTGCCGTCCTGCAAACGTGACTATGGCCTTTGAGGACAGTGTTTCCCTAAAGATCTAGATTCCAGACACTGGTACGTGGGCCAAGTTAATACATCTGCGGTCGGGAATTCACAGCGTTTATCGAACTAGCTGGCACCTGACCGGGCCCCAGCGTCAGGACAGGCAGAGACGGTCGGAACGTCTCAGTTGTTGCTGGTGGTTTTAGCGAATGGACGATGACATACGTGTCCTTTCCCCACGACTCTGGGCATTATTGGGTGTCAGCTGCCCTGTCCCTGGGGAACTATCATGCCGTCGATGAAAGGACAAAGCCAAGCAGCCTCTGCAACCCCAAGCATCACCACGCAGGGACAGGAGGGGCCACGCAGGGGGCGGGCACCGCGTGGGCAGCACATGCAGGGGCGGGAGGCGTGAGATGACACAGGCAGGCATGCGGGATGGCCGCGGGGAGCATGCAGGGTGTGGGGGGGTGATGGAAATGGACATGGACTCCAGCGCCACCCGGTGACGACCACGTCCTCAGCGGGGCCACACTGGCGACCACTGCAGCTGGCAGACGAGGAGGCGAGGACACCCCCTTCTCCCCAAGGGCAGTGCTTGGGCACAGTCTGGACCTCACAGCAAAGTGTGAATGGGGGATCTAGACACCCCAAAGATCCAGTAGGGAGAGGCCCCCTGGGCAATGCAGAGTCTACTGCTTTAAGTTGAACAGAGAAGGGACATCCCCTCCTGGCTCTAGGGACACAGGCGGTCGACCCTGGCCCCAGCTGGTCCCCAGGCCTCCTGCCCCAATGGCGCTGCCCCTGAGAACTTGCCCCTGAGCTCAGAGTAAGCAGGTCTGGCACCTCTGTCCACGGCACCTCGGCGGGCTAGGCCTCCAGCCCTCTCCCCTCTAATGTGGGGGCTGTGAACTTTAAGACAGGAATAACTCAGGCCTGTGGGACAGACGGTGTCCATTGCAACTACTTGGTCGCTGCTGCAGATCACAGAAACAACAAGAGCCCTTCCCCAGCCTCCTGGATGCAGAGAAGCAGGGGCGGTGGCCACTGCTGGGCTGCCACTGCTGTCCCGCTTGTAGGTCCCAGTTTGGGAGCTCAGGGTTTCTGCCCTGCCTCGCCCGTGAGCTGCGACGGGTTCTGCCTGGGCCCCGAGTGCTGGAGCCGGAGCGGCTGGGTGGGATGGAGCAGCTGGGTGGGTTATGGAGGTGGTGATGGGGGCGGGACGCAGACCGTGTCAGTGTGCTGTGGACGCCCACAGACGGGAGGGGGAAGCGCCACTAGTCTAAGACACCAATCTCCTTACCAAAAGGATTTGCAAGAATATTTGTGACTCGGGACCTAAGGAACTTGCTACAGGGAGGTGAGGTCAGAGGTCAGCTCAATCCTGAAATACAAAGGCAGCGTCATGGGCACCAGCTCCGGGGCGCCTGTCCCACACAGGGTCTTCCTCCCAGCTGTGCTGTGATCCCACCGCCTCTCCCTCCACCCCGGGTGGATAAGGCCCTGGCGGGGCTTGGAGCACATGCGGCCAGGAGGGGCCAGGAGGGGCCACGGGGTCAGGTGCAGCCTGGCGAGAGGCAGTGAGTGGGCGTGAGTGCTGCATCCACAGTAACAGGCTCCGCCCTCCCTGACTCTACACTTCCAGAAAGGTCCTGTGGCTTCCAGAATGGAGTGGGCACTGGGGTCCGGCTGCTTTGCTGGAGCAGGCCTCCACGGGCCGACGGGTGGAGAGGAGGTGCCAAGGGAAGCCCACAGGTATTCGGTGGGGTGCAGCGTGGACAGGGGTGCAGGGAGTAGCCTGATTCTAGAGAAGCTGCGCAGCCGTGACTCCCCGAGCCCCGGAGCAAAGCGGACAGAAGTGGACAGTGCGGGGGGCGAGGGCAGCTGTGTGAGAAGGGGCCTGCCCTGGGGGGCTGCATTTGTTGGGAGCGCGGCCGGGTCTGCTCCAGGTCTTCCCGGTGTCCTGCACTTTTTCCTTTAGGTGTGGGAGTGGCAAGGGCCGGGGTGAGGTTGGGTGGGGTACGGCAAGAAATGGGGCCCCCATGCCAGCCGGGCCCAGGGAGACTGTCTCCAGGGACTTGTGCCACAGGATGGGAAAGACGCCCCCAAGGGAAACAGGTGTGGGAGGCTCAGCCTGGCTCCTACACGACCATGAGGGGTTGGCCTGAGGGCCTGGAAGCAGGACGGGGTTGGGGGGGGGGTGCCTACCTCTGCTCCTCCTCCAATTCCTCCTGGCTCATCATCTTCCTGTACTGGCTCCCCCGCAGCTTCCCGGGGCTGTATCTGAAGGAGAAGGCCTCTCCCCCTGCGGGAGGGAGACTGGATCAGGGGGGCCAGAGGCTTGGGTGCTGGGAGCCTCTCCCCAAACTCAGAGTCCCTTCCCTTTATTAGTTTCAAAAGAAACATCGTGGCCAGAGGCCCCCTGTAGGGTAAAAAAATTATCACGCTTTCCCGCCCTCCCGCCGTGAGCACTCAGGCGGGATCCCTGCAGGCCTGCGTGGCGCCTGAGCATGGGGCCGGGCCTGGGGAGTGTGCACGCCTGAGCCTGCAGGCCAGGGCTGTAAAGACGGCTCCGGGAGGACACCAGAGAGAGCCCAGAGAAAGAGTAAAGAATCCTGGGGGGCTGGGGAGTCGGCTGCCTGCCTGCCTCCCAGCCGGCCCCCCCAGCCTGGCCTGGGCCTGCCTCCCCGCCTGTGTACCTGGTTCCCTGAGAGCATTAAAGCGTGAAAAGTCCACTGAGGGCTCCGGACCCGGAGCTCGTCTGCCTGAGTCGAGAGAGAACCAGCCCTGGGCCCGCTGGCACTGGAGCAGGGTACGCGGGCACGGGCCTTCCTCCCCTCCACCTGGCCCTCCTCCCACACCCCTTCCCTTAAGTCCTGCATCAACGGGGGGACAGAAAGGGGGACACAATGAAAATGGGACGGCCCCCTCGACGCACAGCCCCACGCCCAGACCACAGTGCCCACCCTGTTCTGAGCGGAGCCTTTCCTGGGTGCCCATCTAGAAAGCCAGGCTGCTTTCCCTGCCTCTGAGGCTGAGGCCCAGGGCCGCGGGGGCAGGAGCTGCAGGTGGAGGGGCTCATCTCTGGGAAGCAGGTTGCATTGGGGCGTCAGGGACCCCGCCAAGCTCCTGGGGACCTGTGCAGCAGCGTGAAGGCAGGTGCTGGGCACAGAAGCCAGAGGAGCACCCTGGGGGAGGCTGGGCTGTGCGTCTGGGGGATGGCCCTTCATTCCCCCCAGAGGCAGAGAGGACAGGCCGGGGACAGAGGCGCAGTGGCCTGTCTTATCTAATTTTCTCGACTTCTTTCCCAGTTCTGCCCTAGACTGTCCACCCCTCTGTCACTCAGACACCCCACGCCTGGCCCCAGGAGGCCGCGCCACGTGCCTGCCCGGCTGATGTGGGCTCCAGGGGAGGAGAGGGCCTCAGCCGCTCAGCTTCAGGGTCTCTGGGCCACAGGAAGGAGATTCGGGATGCTACTCCGGAACCCAACGAGTTGGGGGTGTGTTTGTGGGGATGGGGGTGGGAAGCTGGCTGGGTCCCTGCCCTGCTCTCCCCAGCCAAAGCCCAGCTGCCTCCTGAGGAAGCTGTCACTGGCTCCCATTCACTCAGCAAACATTCAGCGAGCGCGCGAAGTGTTGGGCCGAGCTGCGAATAAATCACACGGCTGTGGCGCAAGCAGAGCTAAGTAACTGGGGCACAGACCCGGCCCAGGAGAAAGGGCCGAGCGGGGGCGGGGCTGCGGGAAGTTTGACAGGCCCGCGAGGCAGTGAGGCTGGGGGCGAGGAGCAAAGGGACCGGAGGACAAGGGGGGCGGGAGGGCCCCGTTGCCATGGAAGCTGGGGCTAGGGGCAGAGACAGTGAGTCCCCCTCCCCCTTCACTGGAGCCCCCAGCTCCCAGCAGCCCCGTCTGGAGTCAGGCGCCTGCGGCACAGGGTTCGGCTGAGTCTGGGGGTCTGGATGCTCTGAGGAAATCGGGGCTGCTGCCTCCCCGGAGGGGTTGGGGGCCCCATCCTGGGTTCCCAGACCAGGACAGCCTCAGCACACACTGGCTCCTGGGCCTCAAAGAGGCATCAGGCAAAGGACACCCCTGAACCCCAGAGCTGGGGACATGTAGGCATATTTAGAAAAAGGGAACATGGCGCCTCCGGGCAGCTGGGCCGCCCCAGATTTCCCTACGGGCCGGGTTTGATGAGCCTGGTGTTTCCAAGCCCGAGCGAACAGCGGCTGGAACCACTTGCACTGAGGCTCACGGGCTGGGCCGGGCGCTCAGCCAAGGCCAATTGTGCTGGCCTGGGGGTCCGCACCGCGGGGAGGGGCCTCCGCTTCCAGGAAAGGCCTCTCCGCGGCTCTAATCGATTTGCCTCAGCCCAGTGGCGGAGGGGCTCGGGCAGCTCACGTGTTCTGACAGCTGGGGGCACACTCTCCTCCCTGGAGGCAGCTGGGGGTGGGGCTGTGCAGGGGCGGCCATCAGAGAAGGGGGGGCCAGGGAAAAGGCATGGGAGGGTGGGGGTGGGGCTCGGCAGCGTGCGCTCCAGGCCTGCCTCCCACTCCTTGGGCAGCTGACAGCATCCTGCACCCAGCACACCTGCGGGCATCTCTGGCCACTTGGCAGGGGCAGCACCAGGGCCACAGTCCCTGCAGCTCAGAGGGAGAGCGAGGGGCCTCCCGGAAGGGTTGGTGTCCAGGCGTCCGGGCCTGCCCCCGCCCGTGCCCCTACACCCACCCTCCCTGCTCTGCGGGCAGCCTGGCCCGGGCACTCACAGCCCCAGGCCGTTGCTGCATCCCCGCAGGCCTCGCTCCGCCGTGCCCGCCAGCAGGCCACTCGGTCACAGCTACAGTCTTGCTCTTTAGAAGTTATGAAATATTTCAAGCGTACAGGAGAGCACAGCGAGGAACAGTGCTCCGTGTACTCGCCATATAGATTTAACAAATGTTGACATTTGCTATTTTTGCTTCAGTTTTTTTTTAAAGAAATGAAACATGAAGCTGCAGCCGGAGTCTCCCCTGCGCGGTCCCGCCTGTCATCTGGGGCGCCCAGGGCCGACACCCGGCTCCCACCCAAGGCGCAGCGGGTCGCTCCCTTTCTCTCTTCCCGCCCCCCGAGTCTGGGGGTCTGCAGCCAGGAGCCGCCGAGTCAGCTGCAGAGCTCAGGCATCAGCGCCTCTCCTGGGGCCTTTATCCTGCAGTGCACGGGGCAGCAGCTGTGAGCAGCTCGGTCTCCGTAAACAGGCCGGAGACACGGAGGGAAACATGGAAAGCACAGTGCGGTGGGTGGCGGGGGGGTGCCGGGGCCTTGGCAGTGGGGTGCCCAGGGCGTTTGCTGTCCTCGCAAGAGTGCCTGCCTGGGTTTACGGAGACCCAAAGCTCCACAGAGGCAGACCCAGCCCTCTCCCCACTTGTCAGCCTCCAGCCCCTCCCTGGTCTGTGTGCCCTCTGGGACCGGGGCACCCCGCCTCCAGGGCTGTGATGCCAGTCTACTCACCGTCCTCTTCCGTGGGCCCTGCTGGAGGTAGGCCCTGCCCTCCGGCCAGCTCTGGCTCCTCTTCCTGCAAGACAGGGAAGGAGGTCAGGCGGGCACACGGGCAGGGCTGGCACGAGACCACGCACAGCCCTGGGTGTCAACCCCAGGGGTCCTGGCCCTTGCTGTGACGGCCTCTCTCCAGACTTGATGGCACCAGCACTGCCTGGAAAAGCCGGCTTGGGTCCGCGAGGGTGTCCAGGCACCTGAGCCCACTCAGCCAGCATGACAGACCTCGCGGGGGCTCAGAAGAGGAAATACCCGCTTTGGCGCTGCAACCCCACCGCCAGGGGTCTGTTCCAGATGGGAAAATCAGTGGTCTGTTGGGTTTTCATAAAGAGGCTGTGTGTGGCTGAAAACAGGACAAACTGACAATGACTAGACGTCTGCAGAAGCGAGCGCTCTCTACTGTGTGTGCGGGAGCCGGCGGGTTAACGCCGCAGTGACAGGCCCCACGCAGCTCCGGTCCTGGGGGACAGCGCACGAGGGTGGGGGCAAAGGGACTAACAAGAGGCGGCACTGGGAGGCGCAGTCTTCACCTGGGTCAGTGGCGAATGGCAGCAAAGGCAGAGAAAAGGCTTCTGGAAGGGGCCTCCCCTGGTGGCGCAGCGGTTGAGCCCTGGGCTGCGAAGCTGCCCACAGACTCTGCAGTGCCGGTTCGATCCCCGGCCACCGGCGAGGGTCCCACGTGGTGCAACAGACCTCTCCTGCCGTGCCTGCTGCTCCCCTCAGCAGTGTATTTCAGTCAGTCTGCCTGTTCTGCTCCCCGCTCTGGCTCTGATGAATCCTCTCACCCTCCCATGCTTCTGAGTGTACACAGTGCTTGTGTAAATAAATAAATAAATCTTTAAAAAAGAAAAGAAAAGGCTTCTGGAAGGACACGGAAGTGTGGGCAGCGGCTACCTCGGGGAGGGGAGCTGGGGGGCTGCCTTTCATCTCCCATTTCAGCATAATTTGGAGTTTCTGGAAATAGACAGGTACTTCTCTTGATATGTTCTAAAAGGCTATCCAGGGGCCCTGGGACAGCGAGAGGGACTCTGCCCGCCTCCCCTTTACCTTTGGAAGAAAGAATGAGCGGGACGGCGGGAGGAGGGAGGAGAGAGAACCGAGCATCAGCCTGTTCTGGGCTGGACCCCAAAATAAGCCCATTGAGACCAGACACCAGGCCAATTCTCCTGTTACGGGCAAAGCACAGATGGAGAGAAAACCCCCAAGCCGGCGCGCCCCCTTTCTCCAGAACCTCCTGGGCCAGGACCCAGGGGCCGCCGCCGGCTGGCCCCGCAGAGGCTGGGAGAATCAGGAGTTTGCACTTTTCAAGTCTGGTGCTTTGCCCACGGCTGGGACTCCCGGGGTGGCTGTGAAAGCAATTTCGAGGCAGCTACTGGTGTCTAACACACCGTGTAGCCGAAGTCTTAGCGTGGGTTTGAACTTTAATAATTTCAAAAGCAGAAAGTCTACAAATTTACTTATCTGAAAGGTTAGTTATTTACATTTTAAATATGTGGACGCTTCTGATTCCAATTCACCTGACGGCCGTTCTAGCTCATCTTCGAACCTTGCAAAGGCAGGTCAGGCCGATGGCCAGGGACTGGGGGGCCTGTGCGAGTCCAGCCTTTGGGTCTTTCCAGGATCTGATGCAACCAGGACAGTTGGGACATGACCTGAAGGGAGGTGGCCAGTCTCAGAGGTGCCCTGGGGAGAAGACGCGTATCCCCAACTCTCAGCTGGTCCAGAAGCAAAGAATTGAAATGAAAAAAACCCAGCATTCAAATGTCAAGAAACTAAGCGTAACAGGAATTTAAATAAGTAAATATCCAACTGATGTGTTTTGTGGGTTTGTAGCATTTACACTTCTTAGGTTACGAAAACTTCAAATTGCACCAAGACTTTGGGGGCAACCCCAGACCCCAGAATTAAATTGAAGATAAACAGTGCATTGTGTGTACAGCAGCGCTCGCTTTATAAACGCCCTGGCCTGGCTCTGCACCTTGTTATTTGGGGATGCAAGTTCAAGTACCTTCTGACTGTGAACGTAACGAAGTTTAAGACACGGAAGGGCCACTGGCTGTTTCCTGCCTACAGAAACCTCGCTCTTGAGAAGACGCGGGGTGAGAACAGCCGGCCAGTGTCCACCACCCCCCGCCCAGGTGCTGTCATGGCCCCCGCACACTGGACCTGGAGTCCCGGAGCTGCTTGGGGTCCCCGGGGGAGAGGCCCTGGCTGTGGCTGCCCCGAGGCCATCCCACTGCACCCTAAATTCGAGCAACTGAACTCTGGCTTCTGCGTGAGCTGACGCGCGAGGCTACTGTCACCGGCAGCCCGAGTCCTGGCGGCGAGAACTCTTAGAGGGGCCCGGAGGCAAGGCGGGACGTGCGGGGGCTAAAGGGCTCTGGCGTCTGCACGTGTTTGTCGCATGACCACATGAAGGACCGGCCGCAGCTGGCCCGAGGCATGCATGTGCGCCCCACTCTCAAGCTGGCACCCCCGTGGCGCAAGCAGGATGATGCCTGGAGCTCAGGAGGCTCTGCAGACCCCAGGAGAGGCCGCGGCTGCAGGGTCCGTGGCCAACCTCGCAAAGAGCCGCCCCCGCTGCTCTCCTGTCCACGCCGGGCCCTGAGAGGCTGCACAGTCCCCGTGTGTAGGGGGCTGGTTTCGTGCCCCAAGACCCTAGTCCTGCGCGCCTCAGACGGTCACTGTCTGGAGAGGGTGTTTACAAAAGCAATGATGTTGAGATGAGGTTGTCAGGCGGGTCCTCCCCAGCCCGACCGCGGTCCCTCTCCGGGGGCCCTGCACACACGCTGAGCAGAGGCCGGCGGGACACAGCGAGAGGCAGCGTCTGCCAGGGGGAGAGAGGCCGGGAGACGCTGCCCGCCCGCCTTCGGCCTTTCAGTTCTGGAGAAAACCTTTTCTGCTTTTCGGGCCGCCCAGAGCGTGGGCCTTCGTCCGGGCAGCCGAGCGAGGAGAGCCTGAGCAGCTGCCCTCACAGGGGCTGGTGTCGCCGCGGCCGGGCCCCGTGATGTCCAGTCCGGCCGACCCGCGTCTCCCCACCCCAGTACTGGACAGACGCCAAGTCTTAGCTGCGTGCGGCCTGGGAGGCTTTTCTGATTCGGCTTTTTCCTCCACCCCTGTGGGAGGGGGTGCTCCGGGGAGACCCAGCCTGGGGCAGAGGGCCGGGACAACGCTCCTGGCAGGAGCCCACAGCCCGCTGGACCGTCTGCGGCAGTTCAGGGCCACCTTCAACGTGTGCCTGCCGGCTTTACTTGGCCCTCGGTACCCCCAAATATCTCCCGGGGGGGGACCTCTGGGGCCTGAACAGTGCCAGGAGCCCCAGAGCCAGAGAGCACCAAGAGGCGAGGGGGCGGTGGCAGTGGGGATGGGCAGGTGGCTGTGGGGCTGGGAGGGGTGCAGAGGGGGGCTGGGGGCACATTCCCCTTTGTGGTGCCCCGGCTGGTGTGGCCTGGAGGCACAGTGATGGGGAGGCTGCGCAGGGAGGGGAGCAGCTGGAGGCAGAGACAGAGGGGGGCTGTTGGGGAGGGGAAGGCAGAGACAGAGAGAAGGACGCGGCAGGGAGAGGGATCACACAGTCTGTCTGTCTGTCTGCCAGGGAGCTGGTTCTGCCCTGGCGTCCTGCTAACTGCACTGCTGGGACGCGTGATCGGCCACCAGGGCCACCTCCTCCTGCGACGGTACCTGCCCTCCTGGTTGATCTGGCATGATCTTGGCAGAACTGCAGCTCCACCGGGTAGGCCCGAGGGACGCCCATCCCTCCCTCCCTGCAGCTGCAACAGCGATAACAGGCAGCTCTGGAATGGGCTGCCCTTCCCCCAGAAGAGATGGGGAGGCCAGGGAGGTGCCTGGCTGCCTCCTGGCTCCCCCTGCGGGCCTGAGAGGCTCCCACTCCTTCCAGAGGCTTCCATCAGGCAGCCAGGTGGAGCAGAGTTTGCCTTCAGAGGGGCGTGCGGACGGCAGCCATGGCCACAGCGTCTGGGGCTGGCAGGGGCAGGTGGAAGAGGGGCAGTTGCTCTCCTCTGCTGGCCCACCCAAGCCCGCGGGACCTGTGCTTTCTCCTCCCCTCAGGACCAGAGCCCTGGAGCCGCAGCTCCAAGGAGGGGAGGAGGGGGCTGCCCCCCACCTGCGTCCCGCCCCCCCACCCCAGGGCAGCTCTGCTCTTGCACTGTCCCCAGATGCCAAGTAAGGCCGAGGCGGGTACACGTATCCTCTGCTTTAAAACCTGTTAGAAGTGTTAGGGGGAAAGGCTGTCCTAAAGCTCATTCCATGCAGGCTTCGTGGACTCCACCCCCACCCCAGGCCAAAGCCACAGACACTGGGAACTCCAAATCCCATCCCCACCCAAGGGAAGGTGGCTGGGACCTGAGGGTGGGGTTCAGCAGCCAGGTGGGTATAAAGCCAGACATGTGGGCTTTGTGGGGGGGTCCCCCATTTTGGCTCCCCGCCAGCTCGCAGCCTCCGGCCAGCTCTGAGAGTGACTTTGGGTTTCCAGGTCGTCGGATCGGGTAGGACGCATTAAAGACTTTATTTCCCTATTTTCTCCCTGAGTTGTCCATTTTCCTTATTTCCTTTTCCCTTGTAAATAAACCTTTTATGAACCTTTTGTGTGTCCTGCAGTGGAGTATTCATAAGTCCCTTGTAAGCGCGCGGGTGAGGACCCACAGCCAGGAACCCGTTCAATATCGGGGCTGCCCTGTAACAGAAGGACCCAGAAGTGACCTCAGTGCCGCGTGTAGGGCCTGGATCGAGAAGTCGTGGTCTGTCCCAACCAACAGGCCCCACTCGGCACAGGAAAGACCAAAGGCGCCGTCCCCGGCCACACGGGGGGAATTAGGTGCAGGAAAGCAAGTCGGAATGACCAGGACACGACGGACCTTTGCACAGAGACGCCGGCCACGGCGCACGCTGACCGAGCCAGCAGGCGTGAACAAACGCTGCGAGCACGCTGGGGTCGAGGCCGAAGAAACGGGGTGGGCTGGAGGGGTGGAGGCGGTGGTGGGGAAATAACATCGCCAAAGTAGAAACACAAAACCACAAGACCCCAAACTCATAGAAAGCCGCTGCGCTCACGCGGCTTCTGCCCAGTACGCGGCGAAACTTTGCTGACTCCGAGGCTGGCCAGACGCAGCAGCAGCGGAGCAGTCGCCTCCTGGGCTGCCTGCGCCCAGCTCTGGAGTGGGCAGGGACAGCGAGGCCCTGGCTCACGCCTGGGGCAGGACCACGAGTCAACCTCGCGTTTCTTTCCGTTCTGCCGCTGCTGCGACGCAGCCGCTCCACAACCGGTGCTGCCGGCGCCGGAACGCGGGGGTGCAGGCGCGACCCTGCTCCCTGGGCTGACGCACGGCGGCTGACAATGCACAGGGAAATCAAGGGTGACCTCACGCTGTCTGAGTGCCACGAAGAAACCAGACTTGGGGGGCGCCCACGGCCACGAACCCGTGAAGGACCCTCAGACTTGGAAGGTCAGGAGGAAAGATGCCGTGACGAGCCTGTGCGGAGGGTCTGCCGGGGGCAGCTCGGCCAGGAGGCGAGCCAGGGGGCCACTGAGGGCTGTGGGGAGCACTGGCAGTTGCTGGTGCCAAGTCCGGACAGTAAAACCTTCCACCGCCTGAGGCGCCCTCAGGCCGCCGCCCGGGCTGGAGCCCCGGGGCCGATCAGATCTCCAGCGCTGCCGGGATGGGTTTGGTTTTCAACGGAAGCCACTGGCGGGCCGCGAGCAGGAGGCCATGGCAGCAGTTCCCAAGATCCCGCCGGTGGCCGGGTGTGGCGCGGGCGGGCAGCAGGGAGACAGGTGGGACGTTCCGGAAGAGCCCGGACAAGCCAGGCCTCCAGCGGAAGCCGGAGCGGGGAGCGGCCAGCACCTGGATTCCGGGCGCCGGGATGCGGGACGCAGTGAGTGCGGCCGGCGGCCCGGCCTGGGCTTTTGGTAGGGTGGCTCAAGAGGGAGACGGAGACCGCTCGCCAGGCGCGTGGATCTGAGGGCCTCCTGAGGGGCCCAGGTGGTCAAGGGGAAGTGCCTGGCGGGTGCTGGGCATCTGAGGAGGCGTGCAGGGGTTGGGGGGCCGTGCGCCTGGGCCTCACGGGCTACTGACCGCGGGTGGGGGCTCAGTCGGGTCCCTGGCAGCAGCCGCGGCAGGCGGGCTCCAGCAAGAAGGCTGCCCTGATACTGGGAACAAGGAGCGAAGGGAGACGGCGGGTCGCCGCGGACCCCAGAAGCCGGGGAGGGGGAGCAGAGGCTTAGCACAGCCCAGGCCGGGGCAGCGGGCAGCCGGCTCATCCGCTCCGGGGCGCAGGCACCGCCGGGCCACACTGGCTCTGGCTTGGCCGATGGGGCGAGCCCCAGTCAGCCCTTCAGAGGGACAGCGCTTGGCTCTGTCCCTGCAGAGAGGATTCGAGGACATCAAAGCTTCCTCGAACACCCCAGCGCACAAGCTGCGCCCCACCCAGCTGCTCCCCGGCCACGGAGTGGGGGAGGATGGGAAGAGAACTCAGGTGTGGACAAGATCAGGTCTACGGGGGTTGAAGAAAAGGAAACGGCCGGCTGGGTCTGCCCTGCCACACGCTGGGCCCCGGTTCTGAGTGATCCGGCCTCTGGGTCCGTCCCGCGTGCCCTGCCCTCGCCAGCCCCTTGCCACAGCGTCCTCGGCAAGTCGCAGAGCCCGGCCTTCCCGGCGGGATCTCGGAGCCAGCAAGGCCAGCGCCTTCTTCCCCACCAGCCAGACCGTCGAGGGGCCAGCCTGGCCCCGCGTTCCGTTCTCTGGGCTGCTTTGCTCTGACCTCGTGTTGGAGAAACTTCAAACCCTTGGACAAAGGGGGCGAACGACCCAATAAACCCCCTTCACGGAGCGGCAGCAGCTGTTCATGCTCTGCCAGATTTGCTCTTGCCTCCTCTCTACACACACACACACACCACCCCACACCCCCCACCCCATACACACACACACACACCCGTGCACACACCACACCCCACGTGCCACACGCCCCATGCACACTCCACACAGCCCCCCCCCACACCCCACAACACACACTCCACAACCCACATGCCACACACACACACACACACACACGTACGTGCACACACACGCCGCGACTTGACGGGGAGGATGAGAACATGCCGAGACATCTCCAGACGCGCCGGGCTCTTCCTCAAAGCAAGGACACTTTCTACCCAACAGCCCCGTCCCGGCGGGAGACAGAGCAACGCACGCAGCCAGTGACGCCTTTGGAAACAGGCCCTGCGAGCCCCAAACATGCCTCAGCGCCCACCCCTCCCGGGGCCAGGCTCCAGCCACGGACCCAACTAGCCTTTGTGCCGAGGCTCCGGCTTCCTTCGGTCCGGAAGACTCTCCTCTGCCTGCTGGGGCCTGGTGACGCCGGCCGGTGTCCCGACTGCGCTTAGAGCCGGGACCCTGGCGCCGCCTGCTCTAAGGCCGCAGCTGCGTGGGCGCCTCGACCCTTGGCCGCCGCGGCCGTCTGGTGTCCTGCGGGGCCGCCTTGCTGGCGCCAGCCCCCCCATGAGGACCTGCGGACCTAGGACCCAGCCTGCGCCCCGCGCTGGGGCTGCCTCCTGGCCTTCCAGGCGACAGGCTCTGTTCTTGGCCCCTGATGGCCCATAATTCTTTCGGGGGAGGCCGGTGGGAAGCCTGTCGGGCGTCCCTGGCTGTCCACACCCGCTCTCATCCCTAGGAGAGAAATGAAAAGCGGTTCTAATAATATAACCCTGCCTTCTGCTCTGCCGCCCGCCCGGGCCCGGTGGGTGCCTCCCCCCCATTTCTCAGGCCCTCGGGGCCCCCTTCACCCGCTAGATTCCCCGGCACAGAGTGACCCCAGCTGCAGGGAGGGCTGCTTCCCGGCTCCGGGTCCTTCTCAATAATCAGCTTTGTGAGCCGGAGCAGCAGCTGCGGCCTCCCAGGGAAGGAGGGAGCCGCTAATGGGAGAGGAGGGGCGGGAAGGTGAGCCCGGCGCCCTCCCTGCTCTCTGGGGGCCGCGCTCAGCAGCTGGGCAGCCTGCCCGCCCGCGCCCGCTGCCCCCCTGCGCTGCCCCAGGGTCCGGGAGCCTGAGTCGTCTCCCCAGCCTCCTTCCCACCTGCCCCCCAGCACGGGCAGCGCGAGAAGCAGAGAAAGCCCTGGACCCGCTCGCGGGAAGGCCCCAGCCCATCGAGACACTCTCCTCACGGCTTCCTCGGGGGTGATGCCACCTGGCAAGGGGGGTGTGCATGGCAGTGGGGCCGCGGATAGAGGTGTGCGCCCCCCACGCCTGTCCCCAGGTTACCTTGGGCCCCCACCCGTCCAGAGAGGCCCCGGGACTGGAACCCAGACGGGAAGGGCCAGAGCCATGCGGGGGAACCAGAGCACACGCGGGTCTCGAGTCTGTGGGGGGCCTCCTGGGAAGGGGGCGCACAGTCTCAAGGCAGCCGCCGGGCAGCTGGCCTGTGCGGGGCGCCGAGCGGTGCCTGGCCCATGAACCAAGCGGCTGCCTTGGCCTTCGACGGCCGCTGGCCCTCCCGGGACACGCATTCTTCAGGCCAGAGACAGACGAGCCGCGCTCCGTACACCGCAGCACTGACCCCGCTCTCACGCACGTCCCATCGCAGGGAGGGCTGGAGAAAGTTCTCTTCAGAGTGCTGTGACCCCCAGGCTGGAGAAGTGATGGGCTCCAGCGAGGGCTGATGGAGAGCGAGGGGCGGTGTGGAAACAGCCCCGGCGCCTCTCCTCTTCCCAAGGGGCCGAGTGTGGGCAGCAGCCCCAGATGCGGGAGCAGCCCTGCCT